CTTACCAAAACTGGTGAGTTTTTTCCTTTGGTAGGTTGGTAGGCTAGATTTAATTTTGGTAGGTCCGGCGACTAGTAACATTTATTAGCGAAAAATAGAAAATATGTATTGCCAAATATATTAGCAATCTTTGTTATGGTACGCATACTATGGGAGCAGCAGTGAATGCTGGCGGCATGACACAATTGGGTGCAATATGGCTAGTCAAAAAAAAAAACGAAAAAGAAGACGTTAAATTAAATAAGTAATATAAACTGAAAATCAAAAGAAAAAACCCACTACGAAAAACCAAAATGATAAGCACCTGTTCATCGGATACCCTTGGTGTCATTACAGGATTCCTCATTTGTCTGTTCTGATGGAGCGCCCTACAGCTATCCAATACGATCATTCGGAGAATCTCCAGTCATTCCTGGATGATCCCGAGTTATCCTTCTACAAACGATACAAAGTCGGAATTTCTCAAAGGGAGTGCCGTGAAGCAGCAATGGCTATGATTGACGAAACGTCCCAAGTATGGTATACCGACTGATCGAAGATGGACGACGGAAGTACTAGGGCAGGCGTACTTGGACCGAGAGATTTGTATAAGCCTGTTATGTGTTGTTATACGCAGCTAACTTGATTTCATTGTACAAGGTATGTTTTATTTTTATTAAATGTTATGTCATCTACATTTTTAATAAACTTTACATTGAAAAAAAAAAATTAACAACTAAAAAACAAAAAAAAAAATTGGTAGGTTTTGGTTAGCTTTGGTAGAAAATTTTGGTAGGAAAAAAAATTTGTCTATGGCAACACTGATTTATGCCCACTGTGCGTTCCACCTCTGCATTTTGTTTTGTGTACGGTATTCGATTTCTCGTCAGCAGCAGCAGCAACAAAGCATGCTGACAAGCGACGACGGCGGCAGCAGCTGAGGCAGCAGTGTTTGGCTACACCCCGATTGCCCTTTTATTTGGCCACGATTGACTTTTCCCCTTTAATTTATTTACGGTACATGATTTTCATGTATGTATGTATTCTTTTTTATGCCAGATTTCGCATAAATATGCATATGTATGTACGTTACTAATAAACATTCATTTCTTAACAATAGTTTATGCAACATATTTTTTTCTGTTTCTTACCTCTTTTTGCTGCTTGTGGTTTATTCTTTCTTGTTTCGTTACGTTTTTGTGCTGCTGTTCGTTAACACATTTCCCCTGCAACATACGCAGGCACTCCTTAAACGCGCTTCACTTTTTTTTCGCTCTCACCAGATAATTAAAATTTGATTAAATAATTTCTGTATTTTTATAATAGAAAAATATTTCCCGTTTGTAAATGCATATATGTATGTATGTACACTTTGCTAGTTAATCTTTCGCTAGCTCTTTTTTTCCCCATTGAGAGGTATGGAAATAAATTAAACGCTCAATTCTCTTGTTTTGCCTTGCACAATTTTTTTCCTTTTTGGCAACGGCAATTATGCTTTTTGCAATGCGATCGCTACACAATTGATTTCTAAATTTAATCTTAACACTGAAAATTGCACAAATCAATCACACAAGTAGAGTGTGGCAACTCGATAGAAAAAAATGAATGTCTAATAAAAGCTGCGAGACATCGAGAAAACCATAAAAAATATCGAGGCAATCAAAAAATTTCCGCGAACGCGTCATACAGAGCAAGCTTCGGTGTTGTTGTTTAATTTCGTTAACACTTTGCACAATTTTTCAGCTGCTAGAATTTACCTTTTATTTATTCAACACTGTTTTATTCCTACTTTTACTTTGTTAAATAAAATGCTTTGCTAGCTGAACACAACAAAAGTTCTACACTTCCAATTCGGATTGACTCGACCGCAAATCTGTTCGTACAAATGCACAACAAAATCAAGTTTGCAGCAGAAAACAGTGTTGCTGTACTCTAGCTAAAGTACCTCAAATAGGGCGTTACCAAGTTACTTTATGTTGCAAGAGTTTTATTGGTTTTAAAAGCATTTAAAATGTTGAAATAATTTTGAATCACAATTTTTAATACTATGTTGTTTTATAGAGCTTTTTGCTTGAACGCTTTAATATCTTAATAGTTTGGAAAATATTAAAATTGTGCCCTTTCGGCCAAAAAGCTGCAACACTGATATGTGCTGGTGTTGCCATAAACCCTCAAATATTTACGGGCGCCACCTGGTGGTGAGTAGCTCATTTGCTACGGTGGGCTGGTTTTGAAGGACTCTTTTAATAATCGAATGCCCTGGCCAAGCGAAGAGAAATGTGAATTTCCACCCGGTAGGACTCGGTTCGATTCCTAGCCCGAGCAAGATCTTAAAAGTTGTTTCGTAATTGTGGGTGCCTCTCGACAGGCACTGCCAAGCCTTCGACTGCATTTCTGCCTTAAAGAAAGCTTCTCCCCAAAGTCATATGTCGGCCCTAAAATCTATATATATAGATAGCAAAGAAGGTAAATTTATAAGAAGAGACAACTCGTTAATTTGAAAATGTGCCGCGCCGATTTTGACCGTATCTGAAACGTTTGCAACGGGAATTCGTCTCCGTTTTGACTTTGTCCGTGGCAGATTTTTTATTTTCGCCGCGAATACGGAAAACACTAGCAATCAAGGCGAATTTATACAAGGTGGTGTTGATGGCGAATCTAGATCTTCGCCGCGGTACCTCTAAATGTCAAAATTATGTGTTTGTTGTAATATGAATTCGCCTTGTTTACAGCAAACACACCATTTTGACATTAAGAAGTACCGTGGTGAAAATCTAAATTCGCCAGTAACACCACCTTGTATAAATTCGCCTTGCTAGCAATCGATTATTTTGCACGAGTGGTTGGAAAAATGTTTTTTTTACTTTAGAAAATAATTAAAAGGTGTAAAATATGTAGTATTCAGTGAATGTGTCAAATACTGAGGTATTAATAATAAAAAGTGTTTGTAAGTGCAAAGTGTTTGTCAACAAGTGCCGATGGTTGGCGTCTGTGGATAAAAGTGATCATTATTTTAAACAAAATCAGTGTACTTTTATATAAGAATGCATTAGTTTAATAAGAAATCTATGCATTTATATATGAGTGTACTTATGTTTTGTTTTCATCTAGAAATTTACATATTTAAAGTGAGCAAAAAAAGTTATGTGTCGGGCGATTTGATGGATAAAGTGTTTTTTTGGCAGCATATTAACAAAACTAATCTTCATTATATACAAATTGCATTAGTCTAACATAAAATCAATGCATTTGTGTATAAATTTACATACCTTTTGTTTTCATCAGGCAAGAATAATTTTTTCCAATTTTTTGTTCATATTCATGCAAAAAAATAAACGCGTAAATGTGAAACATAAGTTGTCTCCGTCTTACATGTTCCGCCGAAAAGGGTTTAGAAAAAAAAGAGGAAATTTATTTTCCGGTTAAAAAAATTTTATTACCAACGCCGAATAGGTTAATGTACGATTTTGTGTTTGAAGCTTTTCATGATAGTAAACAATATTTTTGTTACCAATGTTACCAACGCTGAATAGGTCTGTACGTATACACTCACTTATACATGCTTCAGAGCTTTGCAATTATCAATAATGCAAAATAATTGAATTTTTTCAATTCATATACATGTTGTTCGAATTATCTAGAGTCAACTGTAAACAAATTGTAGGCGATCGGTTTACAAATTTTTTTAAATTTATGACCGAAGCTGGTAAAAGCAACCTTGTTGCCAAATTACTTTAGTAATAAAACCAATTAATAATTTGAAAGTTGGAAGGAGCACTGCGATTTAGAAATTTAGAGAAAAAATGACTTAGATCGAGATAAGTTATTTTTGCAAACGTCCTCAGATTTTACTGCGGAGTTGCAATTTTTCATTTGATTGGCTGTGATTTCTTCAATTTTACATTGAAGAATTTTTATTTCTATCATCGATCACTCTTTCCTCGACGCTCCTTGTCGCCGCGAAATCAAATTTGCAGGCGAATTCATTTACGAAATTTGATGTCAAAACGGAAGCGAGTTCCTCTTGCAAACCTTCTAGACCCACTCGCCAGACTTCAGCGACTCTTATAGATTCTTTGGTTATGACACGGGATTGATTAAAATTTTAATTTTATATTTTTGTTCCTTCGGTTCCCATTGAAAATCCAACTTTAAATACGTTAAATTTTACTCAATCAAAGTACGTAAATCTACAGATTTATATCTATCGATTTACGTTCTGACTCAGTCATAATTTTCCTACAGGCGAAAATATTTGGTCTGTGAAATCTCTCAACGATCTGACAACGCCCATGTGATAAATACCCAAAAAATTCCTCCACTTAACGTTCGTTAAGTTTATTGTCTTTTTGACAGCAAAATCAAAATGGCCGACACCCAATTCAGCGTCGCCATGACGCATTCAGCCCGCAGCAGTCAGTATAGGGACGTTTGGTAAAATGAAACAGTCGGGTGGCTGAGAACGTGAAAAAGTTCATTTATTTCAGTTCCTTCTTCAATTGCCTGTGAACCAGATGATTAAATTGAAAAGGGGGGAAATGGCGCAAACTGTTAACAGAACGCGTGGACGATTTAATTAAGCAATAAATTTGACTAAATCAGTGAAAGATAATTGAATTTTAAATATTTAAAGTGTGTTAAAAGTGCTCCTTTAGAAGAGGGAATTCACAGACAACTCTAAAGTGAAGAAAAGTGCAGTGAAAACCCCGAAATAAGTATCAATTGAAATGCAAAGATGCAAAATGTATGAATGAAAAAAAAAAAAACTGAATGTATTGAGTTAGCAGAATCGGTGAGGCCACGATCCACGATGATACGTGAACCGAAAAAGTATTAGTTAAAGCAAGAATCGAGTAAGGCCAAAGTGAAAATTGAATAATATGTACAGAAAATATGAAAAGGTGTAGAGTGTGAAGCAGAAAGAATCAAAAAGTATTGAACCAAAGAATGGTGTACAAGGGAACAGCTGAAAAGGCAAAAGTGCAAAACGTATTTGAAAGTAATGAAAATGTTGAAAAGCTAAAAAATCAACAATCAGACAAAATAACAATAATAGCAACAACTACAGTAGACACAGCAGTTATAGTAAAAAGTATAAAGAATCCAAATCAATTAAGTGAAACAGCAACAATAGCAACAACAATCGCCATATCGACGAACGCGACGCGTATGTCGACGCTGACGCCGACGCTGACGTTGACTGCGTGCACACAGTGCGACAAACGCTGCTGTGAAGTTGATAGCATTCTTCGAAGTACATACAAAAATTGCTGAAGAAGACGAAAAGTGGAATGTGGAAATGAGCGATTAGGTGAAATAAAAGAGCAGCGGAAATTCATTTGAAAAGTGCTAAAAGTAACAGATAAGGTGGAAACAGCGACAAAGCATAGCCAAAGCAAGCAACCAAATTGTATTTCTATTCATTTTTACATCAGGTTAAATTTATGCATGCGTATGTGTGTGTACACGTGTGGGAAAAATAAAAAAAATGTATTCACAGAAGTATAGGAAATCCACTAAAAGTTAGATTACGGGTGGGTGAGTATGTATTAAATAAATAGACGAATAATAGTACGATGAAGATTGGAATTTAGCCGTGTCGTTTGTTATACAATAAATGATGAAAATACAGTTTAAAAGCAAAGCGCGTGCAATCACTGAGTATGTGCAAAAAGCGATTAAGACTTTTAATAATGTGTACATACTTACATTTTAAGAACAAAGTGGAAAAACTGCAGTTTTTAAAATATGCAAGTAAAAGAGAAAAAATGTTAGTAAGTACAAAATAATTGCAAATATTTGTTACGCAAGTTGAATACAATGGTGAATTGAGCAACACCAAAGTAACATTAACGAATTAATAATGAAATAAAGGCCATGAGTACATACAAAAAAGTTTAAATAAAAAGGCGTTTTCTATGCCTTTGCATGGCGACATGTGGTAGGTACGTGCGCGAAAGCTATAAAATGGAGTATGCTGATGAATTATAAGCAAACAAAAAATTTAACAGAGTTAAAAAAATATTTGAACAAATAAAAAACCGCAAAAACTAAACTTTATAACTTTATCTTGGTTAACGAATGTAATAGAAGTTTATTTAAAACATAACTCTAAAAAGCTTAGCAAATAAAATAGGTATATCGCTATCTAAGTGCAACAAAAAAGCGATTTCATGCAAATGCAAAACTATATAAAATTAAAGTTAATTCAAAAAGTTGTTTGTCTTCCCCAGTAACAATAAATTAAATCATGTTAAATTTGCTAATGTTACAAAATGGCTTAAAGCTGACACGCGCATTAAACACTAGGCAGCTTGTGTACTGCTACAACGTACAAACATTTAACATTGAAAGGGGGAAAATATGCTCGCTATTTTTATTGCAAAATAAAAAATTATAATTAGCGTGAAAGCGTGAGAAAGTGTGTATACGCCGGTGTTGAGTTATAAAAAATAAAAAATAAAAATACGAACGTGCAAAGTAGAAATAAACGCGAAACGCGGCCATCAAACTGGAAATTTAAAGCAAGCAAGCAAGCGAGGTGTGTATTTTTACATAAATGTATTACATTAGGGGTATTCTCTGAGTCTTGTAAAGCCTTGGCACGGTGCACGGATTGCACGGTTTGCAAAGCAGTCCCATACGGAAAACTGTTTCTACCGTGCAATCTGTGCGCTGTGCAAGTGCTGTGCAATACTTAAAGAATGCCCCTATTATTTATCTGCTTAACTTTTCTCTAGTTCAAGGAATACATTTTTCATACTTTGGTACCTATTTTATTACAGTGTTCTATGTACAGCATTTTTTGTTTTAACTTAAGGCATAGTGGAATTCGCCTTAAATTCGGTCTAAATTTGAAAAAAAAAGGAAATTTTAATGGCAATTTTTTGCAGTTTGGTAAATTTATGTTGCAATTTTTGCAACTTTTCAAACTTATTATTGTGGTTTCTGTTACAGACTGAACTACATTTTAAATAAAGATTAAAGTTTTTAAACCATATCATTTTGAATTTCGTTTCTAAATAGTTGAACGGAGGTGTATATAGAAACTTAGTATTAAGTCAGTCCTATATTGGTTTACAAGTATTGCAATTTCAAAGTAGGTAGGTACTATGTACTCCAGTAAAGGTAAAATAGGTACCTACCTAATTAAGAAAAAAGTACATATTTTCGTTGGCACTATCGTTCTATATATATTTTTTTTAACAAAAACCTGTTTTGGTTGTTCCAAGTCCCTTAGATTATCGATCTTAAGTATGTACAGTTACTCCCAAAATTAGGCGTGCGGCTGTTTTCTGTTAATATTCGCAATGTTTCACATACCAAAATCTTTTCGTTAATTTTTATATTAAAATATGGCTTATATTTTAGCAAATCCCATTAAAATCCAAGAATGATACTGTTACAAAAATTAAGAAAAATTTGCAAAGTTTCGGCAAATTTGCGCACTTTTTAATACGAATTTCTAAAAATAAATCAGGTATGCAGTTTTATAGCCCATTAAATTTTAGTATGATAATGTGCAAATTTCAAATTTCTAAAAAATCGCGTGGATTTCTGAGAATTTTTTTAAGAATTTGTTTTTATGTGAAAAAATGCGTAGGACAGCAAAAAAAAAAAAAATCTCAAAAATCAACGCGAATTTTTAGACATCAGTCCGTAACGCAGAAAATGACCAAAGCTGGTGGGCCGCGAGGCATGAGGCGTGGTGCGGATAATTAGCGCATGCTGGTCATGCGTCTACTACCAACAGATCAATCCTAGCTTTCCTAAATATATACTACAGCCTTATTAACAAATCTGACTGAAATTCGTATAGAGTGTTCCAACGTTTCCTTAGGAACTTGGAGATGCAGTTTTAAAATCGATTAAATCGAATATGGATTAATCGAGCCCTTCCAACTTGATTTTTCAATAACTATAAAATTATAGCTATTAGCCATGCAACAAAGACTTCAAAAATTAGAATCCTAAATTTTATGAAAATTTTTGTAAAAATTTTGCACTTATTATTTACTCTATTTAGAAAACATTTTAGTATGTCTCCAGTTTTGTAGCATATTTTTGCTAAAACGGGTAATTACGTAATTAGATCTATAGTTAGCGAAAACGAAAACAATATAAAAAAGAAGCCTGTATTGCAAAAAAATCTATGTACGTAAGCACAATTAAGAATATAAAACCAAATTTTTTTCTCATTTGCGACCAAAAAAAGTAGGGCTGGGCTAATGGTGAGTTTCTACTCGCCATTAAATTACAAAAATTTTAATGACTATTTTTGGGCATTAAACACTGTGTTTTTGCTGTGTTTTTGTTTCCACGTGTCATTTTTAAAATGACAAAATTTTTTTTCAATTTCAATGTCTGGCGGAAATTTGGCTTAAGAATTTATGAAGTTTCTGTTGAATGATAATACCGTTGTCTTAATATAGAAAAGTGTTTTCGGATTGCTAACAACTTGATAGCTTTTGAATAAATTTGGTTATTTTTTTATTTCGATCTGGCATCTCCATTAGGAACCCAATTTTGTCTGTGGTTCCATGGGGTTGGCGCAGTCCAAGCTATATCTCCTTGCAGCGTCTTGCCCATTATTTTATGGTCGGGGTGGTGTGGTCTTAAAAAAAACCTTCCACCTGACGACCCTGGCATCGGAAGCTTCCTTCGACTCAGGCTTTGGTAGACTAGAAAATTTTTACAAAACCAACTTCAATTCCCATTTACAAATTTAAAAGTTCCGGTAATTTCTTCATGTTCCAATGATAGCAGCTAAACTAAATTGTCTAGGATGGAACCACCTCTAAGGTAACCCGATTCCCGTTAAGAAAATAATTATGGAAATCGGTTAACTTCATACAAAGTTCAGCGGTAACGCATGTACTTACAAAAAAAATATATATACATATATTCCGACGAATTAATATCTAACCTCCTCTTTTTTGAAGTTGGTTACAAAAAATTTAAACTACTTTTTAAAATTTAATCACAATTTGTTTAAGAAGAAATTATTAAAACTAGGGTCCAGAAGAAAATAATAATAAATAATAAAAATAGCAGTAAAAACAATAATAAAATCAAGCGAACATTTTCTGTGTATCTACTGCAGACTCGTGTAGAGCAGCTGCTGCTACGACATACGCTAACTGGATGGCTGGCTGGCTGTCTGGCTGAATGTCTGTCCTGCTGTTCGTGCATCTAAGCTGTGAAAATGCAGCAAAAGTTTTCGTAGTGAATTTCAATTCAAAGAAATACGACGAGTACATACACAAATTTGTGGTTACGAATGAGTGTTATTGAATATGCGAACATTACTGTCTACCGCCGGCCGCTCCATGTACTTACTGTACGTCTGTTCGAACTTTTCGTTTGCCTCCGAGTTATTTTCAACAACGACAAAAAAAAAAGAAGCTTAATGGACGTCTATCTTTGCACTGCAACCTCTG